GACACTACCAAATGTTGGTAAAGATGAAGAACTGAAACTCATTCATTGCTGATGGTAATAGAAAACAAGTATTTCTATTAAAATAGAACCTTCTTAGAGCTAAACACAAAGTAAATATTCTTAACTTTAATGTTTTGGAATCCAAAGCACTTACTTTAGAAGTAGAGCCACACACCAAAGAATAAAATATTCCACTTATCCCTAGATAAAAACAGGAAGAATTCCAGACCCCTTTAGTTTGAGATTAGCCATATTAAATAAAACCAACCCTTTTATTAGAGTTTAGAAACATTTCCTTTTCAATTATCATAGTCATTCGGCACCAATGAGCAGATCTATCCTCCTGTGAAGTCCAAAGTCATGTCAAATAAAGACTTCAACATACAAAAAGAACCCAAACTCTTTAGGAAATGAGTCAGTGACTCAATAAACCTTCCTTTTTAGTCATTACGGTGTTAAAGTTCACTGACTTGTTAAGAAGACATCAAAAGTGAGCTTGTATCCATCGCAGTAATTTAAGTATTCTTTCAGGGTCACGATAAAATCAAAATCATCACGATAAAATCAAAATCATTTGCCCTAACACTCTTCTTCACTATAAACAGCCTTTACTGCTTTCCTCAAACCACATAGCTTTCATGTTCATTTCAATGTTAAATGAAATAGTTTTCCCCTTAAGAGACTATGATCCTGCCCTGTTTTATTTCCTTTATATATATATATATATATCACAGCATCAAGAACAGTGCTAGGCAAACTGAACACCTGAGTGAATATTCACCAACATTTAATAAAATATTATTTCTTTTCACACATTTTGAAAGTCAATCATCTTATTGGAGACTTATTTTATTTCTTACTCTCCCCAAGTTCAATATTTGGTGTGTGCAAATGAAGAAGTTCTCATTCAATTTATGCATCAAATGTACAATCAAAGTGAATGTTTAAACTTATTTTTGAGCAATAAGGATTTCTGTGTTAGAAAGTATCACTAACTACTTAAACTATCTTAAACTTCAAAGGGCCTTGCACCATACACACTAAACTATACAGCGAAATATTACAGTGTCCTCCTTGTTACAAAAATTCCCAAACTTTAAAAGAAAAAGAATTAAACTATGATGGGAAATATACCAATTATACAATATATACCAATATACAAATATACCAATTGTTTCTCTACTGGACTCTCAAAATTAAACTATGATGGGAAAATGGATAATTCCATTGCAAAGAAACAAATATACCAATTGTTTCTCTACTGGACTCTCCATTTAGACCTGTAAACAGAATAATTTTTTTTGTTTTAAACACATACTTTTACTTACAGACATGTACCCATAATCCCATGGGTCAAGCAAGGGTTTATGCCCATCAGAATCAACAAGGCAAGGCCTCTGCCCTCTGGGAGCTCCCCTGCAGGGCTCCCAGGCAGTGTTTCCAACCAACGTTTAGCAGATATCAAAGCAAGTCTTGTATGTTTACCTACTCACCTCGCCTCACACACTACAAAGTGATTGAGAATCACTTACTCTTCCTTGTAGTTCTCCCACAACTAGCACAAAGACTTGCACCTAAAAAGAAGTACTCAAACGTTCTGATAGTGACTAAAATTGCACTCTAAGTGTATACACAGGTCTCTACAGGATTACACGAATAACAGACTGACGTTAGTGAAGCACGGAGAGAAACACAGGACATTTACTAGGCTGTTACTAAGGCTTACTTGGGAAGGGAAAGATAAGATGATGGGATGTGTGGAAGGCAGCATTATAAATCTATTTTGTGTGATATAATTCTATTTGTATAAAATTTTGCAGAAGTTTGCATAAAGTAATGCAAAAATATTTTGGTGATCCTCCTTTTGTGCTTCACAGGGTGGTGAGATTTTAGGTGAACTTTATTTTCTTCCTTATATTTTTATGTATGATTTGAATTCTTTACCACAGTATATATTAAATAACCAGAGAAAGTTATTTTCATTTGCAGGGGAATGTACCCTGACAGTTGTTGTTTTTTTTTAATAATCCCTAAATGCCTGGCTTATCACACAAGTTTTAATAAATTATGTGGTTACTGTGATGGTTACTGGTAGCCATAACAATTAATTACACAGAAATATTACTTCTAGTGCTCAAAGCCATTACAAATTACTTCATCTCCCTGAGTCTTGGCTTTCCCATATGTAAATTAAGACTATTACCATCTACACTTTGTACTGTGGTCATGAAATTAAATGAGATAGTGCAGGTAGAGCATCTAGCATAGTATCCTGAAAAACTAGAAACTCAAAGACTGTTTTCTATCCCATCCCATCTGTCCTAATTAAAACTCCCCAAAATGAATGAGTTTTAGCATTAACACAATAGCAATGATGCTGTAAAATGAACCTATATTCCTACTTTGATTCGTGAAAATTACTTATTCACTTTCAAAGTTTAAACTAAAATGTTAAGCTTAAGACACTTTTAAATTAAACTAATAAACATACATATACGTAATGCCCAGACATATAATTACCAAAGAAAGCAGCCACCATCTCCCAGCTAGCATTACCAGAAAGCCTATACATTCTAGCTTGGAGTCAAAAAATCTTGATGTCACTCCATGTTGGATGACTCAGAGGTATAATTATTCATGAATGTATTATTTCCTTTAGGGTTGGTGAGTATTAAAAACAGCTTTAGGTTTTTGTGAACTAAAATGGCCTTTATGAACTACTAGAAACTAGAACGGTTTGGGGATTTTTTTTTTCCTTTTTTTCCACACAATTTATCAACTCTCTTAAAGATTAGAACACAGACAGGTAAAAAGGGGGGGTAGGAAATCACATATAATCCCACCATCAAACACTACCTGCTCACAACACTGTAAATCAAGCACACTTCAAGAAAAATAAATAAGATTTTAAAAAGACAATATCCGCTGTTAACCATCTGGTGTATATCCTTTCAACTTAAAAAAAAAATCTCATATAAATCCATATCCAATGTACACTTGAACCACCTTTAAATGTACATTTGACAAATCTCATGTATCAATATACTTCAAATAAAGTTCTGCCCATATTAGAAAGTCAATATTTTTAGCTAAAATGAAAACTAGACAAAAATAAATGCCTTTTAACAGTTCATGCCTTAAGGAAAAACTCCATTATTCTCAAGAGTAGAATTCAGAGCAGAACAAAAGTTATTACTTATTCTGCAATATAAAAAGTGATAAACAGCAAGGTAGATGAAAATCCATTTACTAGGATTTGGGAATATTTTTTAAGTTTATCACTATACTTATCAAACATTTTTTATAATGTTTGATCCCATCAAAACTTTCCACCACTTTCTATATAGTTGTTATATAATATACCATTCTCTTTTTTAAATGAATTAGCAGTTCCAATATAAACATACACTTATAACCAAATGGGGCTTTTAGTTAAAAAGAGCGAATAAAATGTACTAGTTGGAAAAAATTTAGTATTCAACCAGAATGATTAATTTCTCTCTGGTCTACAAAAGTCTCACTTCAAGATAAACATATACACAAATTGAATGGGAAAGATAGGCACTTGCCTAGCACTGAATATTAGCAGAAATCTGTATAGATTTTGATGTAAAGGAATATTGGTTAATTTAATAGAAAGTATCTTTGACTAAGTAATTTGAGAAAAAACAGAAGTTGTATTGTCCCTCTTAAAATGCCCCAGCATTATAATGTAATTCACTTATGTCTTTCAGGTACAAAAGGACAGACATTATAGAAGTTAGAGGACTACACCACGTTCTTTTTGGTAAACGCTGGATAGCATCAACTCACAGTTGAATCCTCAGAACACCTCAAAGATACTGTGGAGTTAGAACATATGACTTACATACCAGATATGCAATATAGCACAGCTGTTATCTTTCTGGAAAACATTAGGACCCTGATCTTCTTTCAAAAATAAAGACATACCTCATTTCCACAGTGGCAGTCTGCAGAAGAAACTGCAGAAAAGCTTAACTTTGCTCTCAATATACTTTGAACTGCCTCAGCACTTTAAGAAAAAAACTCAAATAAGACCCCCAAAGTAGTTCTCCATGTTACATGGGAGAGAAAATTTTGGTGAGAAAAAAATTAGAAGCTTTGTTTTACTTTTGCCAGAACTAAGAGACATTGGTTCACTAAATGCATATAAGGAGCAATGTCGCACCATTAAAAAAAGAATTCAAATATAAGCCCAAAAAAGTACTAGGTTATAGTATCTGACACTGGCATTTCCTTTACCAAAGACCACAATTACATTAAATCTAGCAGTTGTATCTAGCAGGCTTTGAACAAGGATAGACAGTGGGGGGGCATGGGTCTTTTTCAAAACCATTTGTTTTGCAAATTATATCTTATAACAGAATTAAGAGCTGATAATAAATCAAAAATGCTTTGAAAGTCTTACAGTTTTAAATCATTTTCTTAGTATGATTAAACAATGCAAAACAATGACTAAAGTGGAATTATTCAACCTAAAACTCCTACTGCTCTTATCTGATTCTGGAGAAAATTCTACAATTTTTTTTTAAAAAGATCATTTTAAAGAACTATTTAGCAAGTTAAGGGGTCCATAATTCTAAGATTACAGGGTTCTTCCATTATTTGTTTGGGTGTTTTTTCTATCTGCCTTTCCCTCGTGTTTTGTTTTGAAAAAGGGGTAATACACCTTGAGTCTCTAATGAGAGACCACTATCTGAACAGTCAATAAAGGATAACATTTTGACAAGGACAGGAACTAAACAAGTCTGACAAGCAGGAAATTTCCCAGGGCCCTTTTAAATTTAGGCCATTAGTCAGATGTTATAAAATGGATGGAATTAGAGAATCTCAACCTGAGAGAACATAAACAAAATACAGATGCAAAGCTGAAAAAAATAAATGTGTTCCCTCACTAACAGAAAAGTTTGCTGCCATATGTGCCAAACAGAAGCCCCAAAGGAGGGGATAACGTTAAAATTTAAGCATTCATTACTCACCTGTTCATTCAACCTTCCATTTGACAGATATTAAAATCCAGATTTTTTGAAAGAGTTGTGACCTTAAAAAGAGACAACACTGAACTTTTATAGGTGTAGAAAAGATTCTCAACTATATCTTTACCAAAGTAATCTTTCCTGATGACCAGGGTTTTGGTAATAAATATAATGATAACACTCATAATACAGAGTTGCTGGGCTCCCTCACTTTCTGTGATCTGGCCTCTACATTCCCAAGGCCCCAGTTACCTCCCAGACATCAAACCCTATTTCAGCATTGAGTCGTACTTTTCCTTGACACTTTAGGAGCCCCCTGAGATAGATCCATCAACCCTCATCCCAGACACCTCTCCTCTTTGAGTCCCACGTGTTATTTATTCCCTGGTTGTCCTACATCTATTATCCCTCTGTGTCTACTTCCTCCTGCTGTCCTAACTCTTGATCTTCTCTAGTCACTCAGTCTCTTTCTCTACATTCTAGAAACTTTTAGAATCTAGAATCTCATTCTATTTCATGGTTCATGCAAATTTCTATGTGGATAACTCCCATATCAAAACCTCTGGTCCCAACCTCTCTCCAAAATGTCTACTCTAGCCAAGTGAACATCACTCTGAATGCCTCACAACGTCAAATACGACATACTTCTAACCCTATATGCAAAACAGAAAAAGAGACTCAGATGTATAAAAATCAAATTCAGGGGATACATGGCGGTCCAGTGGTTAGGACTCTCAGCTTCCACTGCAGAGGGCCCAGGTTCCAGCCCTGGCTGGGCAACTAATATCTGGCAAGCCGCATGGCATGGCCAAAAAAAAGCAACAAACAAACAAAACCAAACTCTTTTGCCCTCCAAAATGAGCTTCTCTCCCTCTGCTGCCTATTCTAGACATTACAAACTACCAATCTTTCTGAATTAGAAGTCATCTTTGAGTACCCTACTCCTCTATCCAATATCTTATCAGTTACCAAGTTCTGTTGATTCTTGAAGCTCAGAAATAAAGTGGTGAAAGAAAAATGATTCAAATCTAGGTGTGTCAGACACCAAAACAAAAGACAGAGCTCCAAACACTGTTCGTGCTTTACAAGGGAGAAGTAAGGAGACAGACACCCTGCACAGAATGCATCCTTGAAGACAGAAGAAAATGAAGATTATGGTCCCTGGGGTCTACTGATGGTGGTGCTGGCAGTGGTAATAATAAATACTAAGAGCTGTCACTTACTGAGCTCCTGCTAAATGTGTGGTTTCCTACTAGAACCCTACTCTGGTTCACTTTTGTATTCTGTAATATCTATCCACCAGGTCTATCACAAAGTAGGGCCCCCAAAATGTTTGCTAAATTACTAAATCTGTTGCGCTACAGTATATTTCTATCTAAACCATATAGTCCTAGAATACTGTAGTTTTAAAAAAAATTTTTGGTAAAAAAAAAAAAAATTTTTGGTGAGATTTTCTTTTGGCTGTCATTGTTCTCCATTCTCTCCTGCAATGTCTACTCTGTAGCTCAGTCTAAATCAATGGGCCAAGGATAAAATTCTGTGGGATCTCAGACAGTCCCCCACTCCCATAACTTCCTCCTTTCCAACATCTGATAGACCTTCATTTTTTTTACTCTGAATTTCATTTCTAAAATGTTTGAAGTCTCAACAAGACAGGCCCCAATACAAATGTTGTTATTATAAGTATTTTTCCAAGGAGAAGAACTATGTGTACTATGCTGTACCAGAATTCAGTTTATAAATTTCAACTACATAACAGCTGAACTAAAACATGTGCTTTAAGCCAATATTCACAAAAAAGAGAGAAAAGACACAGAACCTACACACAAAATAATTTAGTGGCAAAAATATTTCATTATATCCCCTTGAGCATAATCAAAAGTATAAGAAGTTTCAAAGCTAAAAGCCTTGAACATATGGTTGCTGGTGGTTTTAAAGAAAAGGCTGAAAGAGCTGGTCAAAGTTATACACACATAAGTCACCACAGACTATTAATAAAATAGCACAGGTAGAACGCTTTTTTCCTTTTTAGTCTACCTTGTTATAAAGATACTGTTTTCAAACTTGAAACACAAATGCAAAAGTTCTTTATTGCTCAGTCAATATGCAAGATAACAGGGAGTCTAAATTAACTGCATAAAAAATCACCTTTAAGTTTTTCATTTTGACATGAAAAGTTTATTATTTTGATTTCAAGAAGTACTGCACATTTACACCTAAATGCAAAAGCACTTATTGACTTAACCGAAATATATTATAGCTATGTATTTTCCATTGACAAAGAGAAGCTGGCTCTTTTAACTAAAAATTTGCTCCTGGTAAGATGATTACCTTGATACAGTTTCAAAAAGTATATAGAGTTGGTCCATGGTATCCACAGATGCAGAACCCATGGATACAGAGGACTGACTGTGCTAATCCATTTTATAATGTACTTGAGCACCCGTAGGTTTTGATATCTGAGGGGGTCCTGATACCAACACTCCATGGATACAGAGGGACAACTGTAGGATATCCATTGCACAGCATAACTTGTTGAACTGGACATGATTCATCACTTTAAGATTTCACAGGCACCTACTCGATTTACTCAGTAATCAAATTTCCCGTTTTCTGATATATTTATCAAATTAATCAGAAAAAAACCTCAATTCTAAGGCTGCAATTACCTTCAAAAATAAAAATCCCATCTCTGAATTGTGAATAATCAGAATGAATGTTTTTAGCAGTGAAGATGTATCAAAACAAGTTTCCTGGAGGAGCAGTTTTAATTATGTTTTAGTAGAGTCTGACCCCAATGAATTAGGAATTAATTATTTTTCTGTGTCAAAGCAAACCCAAGAAGAAAACAACTATTTTTAAGAATTTTTAATTTATCTAAAGAATTAAAGTCTCCAAGTTAAATAATTAATCCCCTAGAATTTGAGAACAATATATATATATGAAATCTATGCATTTAGTTAAAAAGTATGTCATGTCAGAAAACATAAATGAAAGGGCTGCCAAAATCCCAGTTTATAGTCGTAAATTCCTAAGGTTTTAAAGCACAGCCACAGGCTAATTGCCCAAAGACCTGCTGCCCACAGACATTTGCAGATGACTGAAGTTAATAGCGGGGCATGTCAATTTACTACAGGCAGCTCTCAGTGCGGACATTTTGACAAAAGAATTGGGTCAGGTTACAGCCTGTTCCTATTATCACGTCTAGATTTATGGTTTCTAACACTGGCCTTACAAGAAATAATGGAAATGATGACAGCAACAATCCCTGCTAGACAACAGATTACAGAAAAGCAAGCAATAATCCATAATCGGAAGTGACCAGAAAACTAAACATCCCTGACCATACTTCAAACACGAAGCAGGTGTCAGTAAACTACCCATTTAAATATTTCTACAATCTCTCAAAATCTCAACACAAAAAAATCTCGAGTCTATAATCTAAAACCAAGCAATATATAAATGTATTTAAATTACTGAGTACTATATTTTAATTTTTAATAATCATCAAAGACAATGTGGTTCATTTGAACAGATTTATGAAACTCTACAAAATTAATAAAAAACAAAGAGAATAATGATCATTACCTTCCAAATATCTTTAAAGTATATTGGAAAATATTCCAAATAATACTTCACATCTTTCGAAAGAAAAAAAAAAAAGGCTGTTTCACAGCAAAGGGCACAAGTTTACAACTGTATTCAGAGAGGCAAGAGAACCGAAGAAACATGTGATTCACTCACTGCTTAATTTAAAACTAAAAGAAGTTTGTCAATACATCTGCTTATAAGACTATGCAAAAAAAAAAAAAAAAAAAANACAAGGTACCCAGGCAAATGGAGCTGTCTGTCTGGAGTTCAGCACCAATTAACCCTTATGAGGAATAGAGGTCGAGAAAAATCAAATAAGTATTCTAAACACAAAAAACAAAGAGAAAAAGAAAAAAGAAAAAAAAAGAGAGAGAAAAAAAGCAAAGAGAATTCCATCAACTTTCCCCTGAGAAAATAAAGTGTTCTCAAGATATGCCCTAAAATTGCAATGTATCTGTCCCTTCTGAAGTTTACAATGGCACGTTACCATAAAAGGTGGGCACTCTCTTTCCGATCTTACAACAATTTGCTCCTATAAACTTAGGAAGAGGCAGAGTCACAGCCATAAACACGGGTCACGAGCAGTAGGTAGTCAAATGCTCTCTACCTTCAAATGTTTCCCAGCTCTTTACTCATACAAAGAGTATTCTTTTTTTAACTCCTTGGTTAAATAAGAAATTCACTAGTCTACGTCAGATGAATATGAAATTAAACTAAAATCATATAAACCAAAATCATATAAACTGCTTATAGGAGCCTCAAATCTTTCACTGTTAACACAATAAGATATTCTCATTTCTTTAAAACCTTTCCATCACATGCCTAAAAAATGAAAACAAGAGAAAAATTTAGGGATATATGTTTATTAGAAGTTACTTAGCATAAAAATAACTAGTATTATTATTTCTAAGGTAACCAAGGATTACTTACATTAGACAACATAAAGACAAAATAAGCAAAAATGCCTTCCTCATGAAAACCAAACAGCACATGCATATTTCAAATCTTAAATTTTTTTTTAAATTTTCTGAAGTTAGCCTGCTTTAAGAACCACCACCTCTGGTATCTTAAAAAATGTTATCACTACAGTAAAGGCATTTATACTCTTAAGAGTAACTAAAGCCCAAACTAGTTAGAGCCTAGAAAACTTACTTGCCACTAAATTATGCCAAGCTATTTTAATCTAAAATAAACAACAGTGGTTTCTCTCATTTCCCCAAGACAAAAGGATTATAAAGATTAAGAGCCCAAGCTAAGGAAGGGTAAACTTTTTCTTTCAAACTGACCCACATTTGCCATTTTCAAAACGTCCAGGTTTTTGCTTCCTAAAATCAACAATCACTTCAAATTCTAAGATATGATCGATGTAGTAATTTTCAGACACTAACAATGTTCCTTAAATTCCTAGGGGTATCTGATTTTCTCACTCCAAACTATAAAACACCTGGTAATGCCAGACCAGTATTTATACCATACCCTCACGGCTCTGCTAGCTGATGGCTAGCAGAGTTCACTTAATTCGTATCTTACATATCCTAAAAACCAGGAATATTACTAGGAAGAGACAATTTGACTCCCAGGGAGATGAGCTAAAAGAGAACATGACCTCAGATTTCCATTCACAACTGGAATGAGAACTGACCTGGCATAAACGTAAAAAGGAACAGACAGAGTAACCTAGCAAAAAAAAAAAAAAAAAACTGAGGTGACTAATGACTCAAATAGCAAAGGATCCTTTGCACCCTTCAGTGTTCCAGTTTCTAAAGTTCCAACAGTAATTTCTATTAACCAAAACGGGGGGGGGGGGTAAATTTTCAAGTGCATTTTCCTCCTCCCTCCCTCTCTCCCCACACTCTAAGAGCTCAAGCTAAAATTGGGATTTGGGCCTTCCTTAAATGGAACAAGGGGCTACATCATTCTCATTCAAAAAAACTGGCATTTACTCAGCCTTCACAAAGCACTTTACTATCATCAATTATTTCTCAGTGAGGCAGTGCAGGATTACCCTGACCATTTCACTGATGCGGAAACAGACACCAACAGCAAAGGGAACAGGGGCAGGAAGAGGGGTGATAGGAAGCATCTGGGAGGAACAGGCAGGCAGCTAAAAAGGAACAAACCCTAAAGAAAATGAGAGTCACATCTGGCTTAGAGCTGACCATCATAACCCTTGTTATTTTTTAGCTCAGAGAGACTTCTGAAATGTTATGAAAAAAAGAAAGGGCTCTAAATTGTCACTTAACATCTAGTTACAGCCTAAGCTACTCAGTCACAGAAGTTACTTAGCATTAAAAAATACCCACTCTCCAGAACACGCACTGATTTCAATTTATACCAGTAATTCATTTTCTCCCTCAAGCCTAACCAGTATGACATCTGTTTGACCCAAAAAATAATCTCTCATAAAAACATATAGCTTTGGGCTTCCTTGGTGGCTCAGTGGTAAACAATCTGCATGCCAATGCAGGAGACAGAGGTTCGATCCCTGGTACGGGAAGATTCTACAGGCGGTGGAGCAATTAAGCCCACGGCTACAAGTACTGAACCTGTGCCCTAGAGCCCAGGAGCCACAACTACTGAGCCCATGTGCCACAACTACTGAAGCCTGCATGCCTAGAGCCCATGCTGTGCAACAAGAGAAGCCACCACAATGAAAAGCCCATACACCGCAACTAGAGAATAGCCCCTGCTGGCCACAAGTAGAGAAAAGCCACCGCAGCAGTGAAGACTCAGCACAGCCAAAAATAAATACATAAAATTATTTTAAAATATATATATAGCTGTGTATAATCATAACAAAAGAGGCACAAAGTTAATATCACATATGTCAGAAATAATTCAAGTTAAGACTCAAGTTTTGTTTAGAGAATTATGACCAAAACACTGACTCCCTGAAATTGCCACTGAAAGAAAAAGACTACTTGTTCTACATTCATAATGATTTTCTTAACTATAACCTGGAAATTTTCAGTAATAAACTGCTAATGGGAAGCCTTAAACACCCTAGAAACCAGCACACAAAGCAGTAGGTTGAACTGAACGCCATACTACAGGCAGCACAGGTACTTAATAAAGATGTGTTGATTGAACCATAAATCAAAAGGACTGACCAACTGCTGCCTCAAGAGAAAAACCACCTCTTTTAAGACTGACTCCAGTTTTTTTGTATATATGACATCATTAACTTTAAAGCATCTTCACACATTAACAATATAGTTTGCCAACATTAATTTTTTTTTCAAAGTATCAATTTGAAAACAAATCAGGTTCTCTGGGGAAAAACAGGTATACATCCTTGGAAGATCATAAGGTTTTGTGATATACATGAAATTTACTCAAAAATGACAGAGCCACTGAAAGTACTGTTCCACTAAGTTTTTGAAAAAAATCCATCCGACTGTTTGAAGAATACGGATAAAGGCATAGACAAACAAATGCAAGGCATCACGTAAGTACTGATGAACTCTATCCTCAAAATCCCAAATGGACTCAATTCCAAAAGCTATTTTCACATTCCTGCCATTGAATATACAAAACCACAAACACAGTTAAAGAAAACATTCATCCTTGGAAAGACATTTAATGAGTAATTAAGAAAAAGAACGATAAGAAAGGCAAAACTGTCCTTATTGAACATTTCCAAGCAGTGTTATTGAAAAAAAAATAAATATGCGTCTATGAGTTATAGTTAAAATACAACTGATTGTCATAGGAAGCTGTACTCCATAAATGTTACACATTTTATAATACTCTTTCCCCAAAACAGACATATGAACATCTCTGGGAGTATTAAAAATGCAGCAGCATCTGCAGTTGTTTTCGGAAAGAAAACCATCTCCAATAACTATGTACATCATATGATTATAAGGAAGTATTCACTTTCTCTGCCTCAGTTTCCCCTCCTAACCTCCCCATTCACTCTTAGAGACGTCTGTCCTAAAGTCAACCTACAGGTAAGTTGTAAATGCTCATCTTCTAATTCTTCAAAGTAGAGGCTAGTTCCAAATTGTAATCACACTTTATAACGAATGACCAATGTATTACAACTTTAAAAAAAAAAAAATCAATAGTCTTAAACGTAAACTTGTCACTACCTGTGCTGCCCTAACATTTGGGGTGAGGGACGAGGGGAAGGCGGCGCGAATTTACAGCTCAGCCCTCAAAGTTACGTACAACTTCAAGACACAAAATCTATTCAACTCTCCTACTCGCTCTCCCCCTGGCGATTCACAATAGAATGTAGCACAACCACCATTCAGGTGGAAAAAGCGAGAACGCAATATCGAAAAACAACAGTGGTCTTGAGACCCAGTCTTGCCGCGATGCCGCGGCGGCCACCTCGCCGCTCCTGAGAGCTGCAGACCCACTCTCCGGCCCCCCACTCCCAGCCGCACCCCACCGCCAGGGCCTGCCGCGCCCTCCCGCCCCCTATCTCCCCCGAGAGCGAGCCACCGGCGCTGCCCCCCACCCATCCGCCTCGAGCCCGGGGCCGCGAGCCCAACGTACACACCTGGCACCGGGGCCCGAGCCCGCGCTCAGCCACAAGCGCATCCTTCCCAGCTGACATTTCCTTCAGAAACTCCAAAAGTTCTCTCACAAGTCTCCGGAAAACTCCGGGGCCAGTTTCAGCACAGACCAAGACCACCAAAGTCATCCCTACTCCTCAGCCCCACCGCCCACCTGCGTAGTCCCGGGACCCCAGCCCGGCCCCACCCACGGGCGGAGGATGCTGTAGAAGGTGCTGTCCGCGCTTCGGGTCAGGGGACCATTAGAGGAGTGAGGCCTCCGAACGCCGCGGGCGGGATGGGCCGGTGCCGGGCGACCGGGCCCCAAGTGAGTGTGAGGGGCGGCGCGAGAGCGATTGAGGGGCGTCGCGGAAAGCGCTACGTGGGGCAGGGAAGCCCCGGCCTTGGGGGTGAGGCCGCCGAGGGGTAGAGGAGCTCGGACCTAGGGGGTGAAGCCGCGGAGAGTGGCTGACCGGAGTGCGGGACCGATCTGGGGCCGGACCCCGCGGAGCGGTGAGGGGGCGTTGCTCGCGGGGGACGCGCCGCCGGAGACTCCCTACCTTCTGCGGAAAACAGCCAGAGCCCGGAACACCAAAACTCCGCCTCTCTGGTCTTCACGGAGCCCGGAGTCGCCTCACACCTCGAGTCTCGTCGGCGAAAAGAGCGAAATTCTGTCACACAGGTCCCGCGAGCCAGCTTCGATCTTCACACCTCCGCCGCCATGTTTGAGAAGCCGCGCGCGAAGCCGCGCATGCCCCGCAACCCCCACCGCGGCCCCGCCCCCTCCCCTCCGTCCGCTTGCCCTGCGGTTGCCGCAGTCGCGCACTTTGACCGTTTGCTGCGTGCGGGGCCCGAGCCGGGGGCTCTGCAGGAAGCTCCAGCAGCTGGTGGCCAACAGTGAGACACTGCAAGCCCGGGCAAGACCTTGGCAGTTTTCCCTCGTCCGCCCCCCCAACCCCGCCCCAATCTGCCCTCCCGCCAAAAAAAAAAAAGTCGCAACCCCTGCCCCCAAGACCATGGTGGGCCCCCAGCTGGGAGCACAGAATGCGCATCAAGTTTCATCCAAGAGGAACTCGCTCCCCTTAGCCATCGACTGAGACTCTCGGCCACCGCCACTCTGGCCACGCACCGAAAAGGCAGGCTCTTCCCTAGGAGCTCGAGCAAGTTCGATGAGCAAGGAAAAAGCAGTTCGTTAGGGCAGCTTGAGCAAAGCCACTCCTTCGCGGGTTGCAGCATAGTCCTTGAAACAGCTTTTCTTTTTTTTCCATGAGTTTTTGCCAGCAATCCCCTCCAGCTCCACATTCCAGGCTTAGTTGTTCCTTTAAACCCAGGCTTGAGCTAACGGGAACTAGATTAACCTGGAGAGTAAAATAATTTGCTCACAAGCTTGAAGGTACTCAGGAGCGTCTTCGAGAGTGGGTTTTGGGGTCTCCTCTGCTCAATCCCCCTGGCCCCGAACCCAGGGTTTGTGCAGGTGGAGGTCGCACCTAGGGGCAGGGGGCGGGCGTTAATAAAAAGCTCCAAAAGCAATCTCTCCCGGACAAAATGTAGCAAACAAAAAACCAGAGAAAAACGTCCCATTCCTCATTGTGAGGTTGGGTATAGGCAGATTTAAAACTTTTGCCTGAAAAATAATATAAGGTGCTGTGTTAGCTAAAAGTAAACCTTTGGCAGGCCTTTCTCTCTATAACTTTTTTCAAAAGTTGGATGAAGGTTTTGCATCCATGATCTGCTTAACTTACTATATAGGACATGAGTTTTTAAATCATAATTCGGGAATAGAAACCTAAAAAAATGTTTTAATGTGGAATATATCCATTTTGTACAATGCAGAATAAAATTATTTTCATATGATACAACTTATGTAATGTTAAGGACCAAATTAAAATATTATTTATTGTATCTAAACTCTAGAGAATAGCACAAAATCAAATTGCACCCTTTAAAATGAATAAATAAATGTTAGTGCAAAATTCAAGAGAATTTGAAGGTTAAAATACAAAAATTAGGCCATTATTAGGTGGAAACTAGGGCTTCCCTAGTAGCTCAGATGGTAAAGCGTCTGCCTGCAATGCGGGAGATCTGGGTTCGATCCCTGGGTCAGGAAGAAACCCTGGAGAAGGAAATGGCAACCCACTCCAGTACTCTTGCCTAGAAAATTCCATGGATGGAGGAAACTGGTAGGCTACAGTCCATGGGACTGCAGAGTCGGACACGACTGAACAACTTCACTGGTTCAGGTGCAAATATTTCAGCGAGATTTGTTCCATCAGTTGTATATGATCACATAGGAGGAAAAGTTGAAACGGTCTAAGATGAAGGTTCAAAAATGTTTTTAAAAGCTAGAAAGTTAACTTTAACAGAAAAAAAATAAGCAGATTTAAGTTTAATCTTTCAGTTCAGTTCAGTCGCTCAGTCACGTCTGACTCTTTGTGACCCCATGAATCGCAGCATGCCAGGCCTCCCTGTCCATCACCAACTCCCAGAGTTTACTCAAACTCATGTCCATCAAGTCAGTGATGCCATCCAACCATCTCATCCTCTGTCAACCCCTTCTCCTCCTGCCCCCAATCCCTCCCAGCATCAGGGTCTTTTCCAATGAGTCAACCCTTCGCATGAGGTGGCCAAACTATTGGAGTTCCAGCTTCAGCATCAGTCCTGCCGATAAACACCCAGGACTGATCTCTTTTAGGATGGACTGGTTGGATCTCCTTGCAGTCCAAGGGACTCTCAAGAGTCATCTCCAACACTACAGTTCAAAAGCATCAATTCTTTGGCACTCAGCTTTCTTTATAGTCCAACTCTCACATCCATATGTGACCACTGGAACAACCATAGCCTTGACTAGATGGACCTTTGTTGGCAAAGTAATGTCTCTGCTTTTTAATAGGCTGTCTAGATTGGTCGTAACTTTCCTTCCAAGGAGTAAGCGTCTTTCAATTTCATGGCTGCAATCACCATCTGCAGTGATTTTGGAGCCCCAAAAAATAA